CCCCAAAACCCCAAAACCCCAAAACCCCAAAACCCCAACAACCTTGAATAATATTGAGCCTTATAGTCTTATTTAATTTTTCAAAACCAAACATGAATGCAGAAATCGAAGATGTGAGTGCTAATAGTTCAACTATAATTTAGGCGGAAGATAGGCTTATCAATAAACAGGCTAAAAATAACTTAGCGAACGGCCCGACGACTCCTTACATTGCAAACCTTAACAGCGATGAAAATAGCGAGGAAGAGATCCCTCTTGAGATATCAGATTATTACAATTCTTGGGAGGTCAGGATAGCAGATGACACTATTCAGAATGCAAACTTGAGTATCTCTAGAAGTGATGCCATCAAAGGTTTCGTTCTGATGATATTTGCTGTAATATGGACTTCAATCATGCACATCTCTGTCAAAGCAGCCTTTGCCCGAAACCCAAATCTTACGAATTTTGATGCCTTATCATTCATTGGATATTCAATCACATCATTTTACTTCCTGGCTGCCCGAGTCAGTGGGGTGACTTTGAATCTTTTCAACTTTGAAAGAAGAATAGGAATTCTAGTGATAGTCCGAACTCTAGCTAGCAATCTGATGAACATATTTCTTTTTGCAGGAATGAAATACATCTCTGTCGGTAAAAGCACCTTAATATTTAATCTGAACCCTTTATTCTGTATGATTATTGCTTTCTTTGCTCTTAGTGAGAAGATTACACCCCTCAACATAGCTGCAGCTTGAGGCTCTTTAGGAGGAATCTACTTACTTACAATAAACGATTCAAGCGATGATGGCTCAGGAGGAACAGCCATACTCGGGTACATCTGTGTTTTCAGTAGTGCTTGGATCTACGGGTTCATCTTTGTCTGAGTACGTCTTCTCAATATCCGTGGGATCCATCAATACGTACCTCCCTTTTATATTGGAGTAATGGCTTTGGGAACTACAATACTAGTACTGATCTTTTGACCTTCATATATTTACTTAAAGTATGACTTTTGGGACACCTTCTTCTTAGGCCTGAACGGAATTGGGGCAATCTGAGTGCAGCTCTTCCTCACAGTGGCATATAAATACGGACTCGCTTCAAGACTAGCTATTTGTCAATATCTAGAGAATGTGTTCACACTACTTGCAGATATCTTAATTTTCAGCTATGCCTTCACTTTGACAGATATCCTTGGCATTATTGTGATAGTGATTTGAATCTCAATTCCCATTGTCGTGCACTCCAAGTAAAACTTTTGCCTGCAGATAAACCTGAATGAGCAATATTTAATTTCAAATCACCCACTTAAAAGGGGTTTTGGGGTTTTGGGGTTTTGGGGTTTTGGGG